GCTTGCAGTTTATGGAAGCAGTTAGATTAGATGAAACGAAGCAGTTGTTGATTCCACTCTAGCCTAATGAGAAATCAAAACTATTTCGAAATATAGAGCTCGCTGTATCGTGGCTTTCCCACTTGAGCTCTCTTCAATATAGCTTTAAAGGGTACTGATTTCTCGTTCTCCTGACAACTGTTTCCGTGTGGGGACTGACCAAAGTTTTTGTTTGGGAAAAGTTTTTTTCTTCGCACTATACTTTTTGGAAACCTTAATATTGATGTCAAATGTCCGTTGAGGCTAATTTTCGACCTTCTCGGTTGAGATCTTCGGCTACCCGCGGCCATGGTGTGATCGCTATCAGTCATATTGAAGATGGAAACACTTCGTGGCATGCGGTCGAGCAAATGGGGGTGCTTGGGTGATCCTTCGCGGCGATGTTGGAAGCGACCTTCGTTGGTGATGGCACATGCACGGCATTCACAACAGAAGCTAGTGATTTAACGTGGAATCGTTAGAGCATGTCGAGTCCACTAGCTAGAAATGCTACCTTGTTTGCGTGCGTCTCGCGATGAGGATCTCTAAACCGACCCTCCCCCATCTCTTCAACGAAACCTATCGTTCAGGATCAGCGACCCCTCAACGGTAGGTAATGCAGCGGTCCATCCAACCTTCCCAACTCGGTTCATCGGCTGGATAGAAGCGTAGAACATTAGAACTAAAACTTGAAGGATAACCTTTGCAAGGCTATACTATCAAAAGCCACTAGAAATGAGTACTCCTGATTTGAGCGTGAAGCAAAGAATCGATTGGGAGTTCGGGCAGAAGACCAGAGGAGAGCAGAAAAAGAGCATGCAAACTAACAAGACGACAGATTCGTGAGCTAGCAACGTGGGTGGAGTCACTTGAGCAATCTTCCGCCTCTTTTTACACTACAACTTTCTAACGCATGTCTTGTATGAAGCAATCTTTTGCGGTCCTAAGCATCTTTCCACATGAAGAGATCCGGTTCTTGACAGTCGTCATCGTCATCCGGGCAGTTTTAGGCGGTCAAAGGGTCGCAGACGCGGCTGCGGCGCGTCACTACCGCGGCGATCAGCTGCGCCTAGCCTGTGTAGCTGTTTTCCCCGATTAGTTTTCACTGTATTATTTCTTTTTCGAGGTAAGTTGTTTTTTGTCTCCATGAAGTATATTAGGACGCGGATTCTTTTTTGTTTTCATAATGAAGTTTTTTTGTGATTTTCTCCAGTGTTTTGTTTATTATTGCTTAATTATTTGATTGTTAGGCCAAAAATTAACTGTCTCAATCATAATTACCGTTTGTGAAGAAAAGGAACCAAAATGACCACTTAAGAAAAACAGCCAAAACCAGTGGAAAACTAGGGAGAAAACGCTAAAACCCAGGCCTTGGAAAAACAGCGTATCGGCCTGGCGTTGACGCGCCGTCTGGCGACCGTTTGACGGCCTAAAAAACTGCCGCGGATACTACTGTAAGCTGATCGCGGATCCGTGCCCTTGACAGGATTCTAGCATCAGCTGCTATGTACATGACCTTCTTCACCTTTCGTAATCAGCATTTCGGAAGAACAAGCCGGTTTCAGTGCATAGTGCTCTACATTTTATGCACTTTGATGGGAATATGTTTGTGCTTTCTACTTTAGCTAGTTTCCAACTGAGCGAACGCTCGTCTTGTACAGCTCGAACGACAGAGTTCCCTTACTGGTTACTTGATTGTTGGAATCAAATTGAAACCAAACTGTCACCATCATCGATGAGACCATCATCAATGAGTTAAGAATAAAGGACGAGAAAATACGCTTATTTGCGCTCTCTTAATACCCGGAACTAAAAAAATTGCCAGAAAAGTGACATTATTTTGGGAAAGTTTCCAAAATGTTTCGTCATCGAGTTTGTGAATAAGTTGTTCAATACTGCGAGTCATTCTTATATCTTCTAAAGTATAGCAATCCAGATCATGATCCAAGACGCCTTGTGAAAAAAAGCTGAAACGAGATGCAGCGAAGTGTGTCAGTGTGGCGCGCCGACGGAATTGTTGCTACCAGATGATATTTCAATTTGGTTAGTCGTCTCCATAATCCGGTCAGGCAACCTTTGCTTTTGACTGGAGAACGGGCTGCCTTGTATTCGTGGGCCATCGATCCGTCATTTTATCTCTGGAAGCTTTGTCAAAGTTGAAAATGCATACTATTAACTTCCTTGTAGTGTGACAGTTTAGCGGAGCACTTCGGGACTTTGAGTAGGGGGCGGGGGCATTTGGCATTTTAGGCTGCTTACTAGTTTACAAATCGCTCTGGCTGGAGCATGTGTTTTTTGTAAATGCTGGAGCAGCTGATGAATGCACCGATGTAAAATGTATTCAAATACCTATATTTAGGAGCAGTATGTTCTTTTTTGTTAACTTTTATTAATGAAGTATGTTTTGTATTTTCTTTCAGGTATTTGTTTGCCCTTATATTGCTAATATTTGATTGTTAGAAAAATAACTGTTTCATCGTTAAATCACCTTGTGAAGCACGATGGAACAAAAATCCTTCAGAAAAGCAGAAAACCGTGGAAACTAGCGAGAAATGACTAAACCAGGCTGCGAAACCAGCTGATCGCCGCGTCGTGTACGCGCCGCACGCCGGCCCGTCTGCCGACCTGACCGGTCTAAACAACTGCCCGGATGACGATGTAAGCGATCGCCAAAAAACAGTGCCTTGACGGAATTCTTAGCATCAGCTGAGTGTTAAACTCACCTTTTCCACCTTTTTTCACCTTTCACGTAACTCCGCATTCGGAATGTATCCAGTGCCATATGACTAATTATGCACTTTGATGGAATCAATGTTTGTGCCTTCTCTTTATAAGCTAGTATTCCAACTTTGCGAACGCTCTTTTGTACAACGCTTGAACAGAATTAGAGTTCCCTTACTGATTAACTGATTGTTGAATTGAAATTGAAAAGCTATCGCCTCATCGATGCAGACCATCATCAATGGGTTGAGAATAAAGGACGAGAAAATACGCTTATTTGCGATCTTTCAAAACCCGGAACTAAAGAATTGTCTGAAAAGTGACATTATGTTTCAAAAAGTTTCAAAATGTTTCGTCCGTCCGCGAAAGTTTGTGAATAAGTTGTTAAATGCTGCGAAGTATTCCTATTCACAAAGATAAAATCAGATCATGATCAGAGCTTGTGAAAAAAGCGGCGAGATGCAGCGGCGAAGTGCTCAGGGTGCGCCCGTGCAGGAACTTTTGCACTCAGATGATTTTTCATTTTAGTTAATCGTCTCATAGCCTGTAGCAACCTTCGCTTTGACTGGAGGATTTCGGTCCCGCCACCCTCCCGCCTCCCGCATTGGTGCCATCGATTCCGTCATTTTGTCTCTGGAAGCCTTGTCAAAGTTGAAAACGCACACTATTAACTTCCTTGTAGTGTCACTGTTTACCGGTTGCTCTTGGTGAGAAAAAGAAAACTGAAAAAAATTGAAAATTTACAATGTTCATAGGTATTCTTCATCAGAGCTGACAGGTGGTCTCCATAAACATTGACTGGTATATCCTGTGGCACGTCGACGGCCCTAGGTACATCATACAGCACTTGCTACTGCTATCCTAGCAAGCACAGTAAGCATAGTTGTGTGAGCGGACGCATCCACTCGTCACGCCTTCCCTATCTTGCCCCTCGTCTTGACCATATCGAAGGGCTTCGTGCACCAATGAAGAAGGCGGGGCGCATGTTTGCTTGATGATCTGCCTTATACGGTCAGCGTGGAATAAACGCTTCCAGAGGACGAACTCTTCACTCACTAGGGGGAGAGTCGTCCAGGTCGCAAGTGCCATTTGTGAGAGATGTAGGTCACTAGACGGTTTGTTTGGACGCTGAATCTTGAATCTGCCTTCAAAATTTGCAAAGCGATTCTCTGAACGGAGTTATGGAGCCGCGTTTACCACGCAACAGGTCATGGGATCGGATCCCTGCTGAGCTTAACTTTTTTGCTTGTTGCGCAAACGTTGGCAAAAAGTGATTTTGCCGTCAGCCACTACTCGTTCTTCACCTGGCTTGTCTGGAGAAGAGTGCCTCCATTTTTACTGCCGCTTAGGACTCTTGTGACTACATGCCACTTACAGTGCTTCTAGGGAGTCCAAGCGCAGTAATAAATGGAGGCAAACTTTTCTTCAGACAAGCTCAGGTGAGAACTGAAGTAGTAGTGACGGCAAAATCACTTTTTGCCACGTTTGCGCAACAAGCAAAAAAGTTAAGCTCAGCAGGGATCCGATCCCATGACCTGTTGCGTGGTAAACGCGGCTCCATAACTCCGTTCAGAGAATCGCTTTGCAAATTTTGAAGGCAGATTCAAGATCAGCGTCCAAAACCACGTCTAGTGATCTACATCTCATCACAAATGGCCACTTCGACCTGACGACCTTCCCTAGTCAGGTCGTGGATCCTGGTCTTCGCCATGTGTGAGGTGAACAGGTTTGTAACTGAAGTAGTGTGTGGCCTTTTGCGTTCAAATGTGCACGCTAACGGGGCAGTACGGGTAGTGGTACCTGGTCCGTCCTCGTTTATCCGCAGCATCCAGCGCTAGCGGAGATGCCAAGGTCTCACAGCAAAACACGTTCCCAGCGGCACAGAGCAACCAGAAGTGAGCGGGTGCAGACAAGCATCACGCCTGGTTGTGGTTAGGCGTATGTCTGGCCGTGTAGCACCGCTGGCGGAGTATGCGGACGCGGGCACCCTGGTACCGCTATCCTCCAGCACCACTTCGGTGCGCTTTTGAGCTAGAAATGTGCCACCTACTGCAGTTGCGGATCCATTCTCCGCATACATGGCGAGGACCAGGATCCACGGAGGTGAGTTTGCATTCTGTCCCTCAACTAGCCGCACAATCATGCACTGCGAATTCTCACGATGAGTGCTTTCGTTTTCCTTCGCTTACTGCGATCTGTTCGTGAGTTTTTGGTAGATCGAATAGAGCAGGTTCACCTCAAGATATTTTTTTTATTTCAGCATGCTTCCGACAGCGACCTTTATTGCCCTTGTGGCAACAACATGTGCTTTGCCAGCCTATGTTAACCGCGATGACATCTCTGAAATTGAGATGTCCCTTCCTGCAGTGAACCTGGACTTCCTGCGATATATCAGCGACAAACTCAACAGCTTCTTTGGACCAAGCGATTATACTACTACTGATCCAAGAGGTCTTAATTTCGCACAGTTTGTTGCCACCGACAAGTGCAGCGGTCAGGCAGCTTGGCGATGTTTCACTGAAATCGACACGAACAGTAAGAAGATATTTTCGGCCGCGCTATGTGGACCATATCAGCTTGAATGCATTTGTATATTTTCAATAGTGATAGTCGTCCTCTTTCAGACGATGGGTTTGTATCGCCAGCTGAATTGGCGGAATATGACAAATCGTCAATGACCAGAGTGCAGCACATGTATGACGACTACCTAGAAACGAGTTTTACGGTGAGTAACAATTTTATACACTTCTCTATTTGTCGGTTGATTGTACATGCTCGTTTTCGTGGGCAGTGGTCATGACTAACGCCACGGCTGTTGAGTGTACAAACAGACTCTAGGGAACTAGACTGTGGAATGGGTGACTAGAAGCTGTTGACTGGTTTACAGGAGGCTGACAACGACAATGACGATTACGTTTCCTACGATGAGGGCGTGGACTATGCAGAAAACGTTTTGAAGGTGAAGGCTGACGAAAATTGGCGACGACTTTTCACTGAGAGAGATATGGATGGTGACGGACGATTAGACAAGGAAGGTGAGCATAACGCGCAGTGGGTGAACTAGGTAGAAGTTTTACTATACATACAGTCATGATCCCTCCAAACGATAGGGCGGCGGACTGGGCGTGCCTCGGACCGCAGCTATGGCAGATTTCCCACCAGCTGTAGCCAGGGCACGTTCTGCCGCTGAGGAAAACTCTTGAAAAATACGAACCCCCCTAATGTCCTCCTATGTTACGCCCCTACCCCCTTACCTACTACTGGCTTGAACCAGTCGCAATACGATTTTTTACGGAGCGAGTACGACCCCCTCCCTATCCCAACGATGAGCAAATATGCCCCTCTTCCACTGGAACTCTCCCAACGAAGTATTAGGTTCTCAGCGTTTTGTGCACCTATTTTTTGTACATTCACTGCTGATTAAAAACTCATTCTGCCTTGCTTCTCAGTAGCACATCCTGTAGAGAATTTCTTGCGCTATCTGATGGTATAATTGCCGTTTCACCATTGCTTGATAAACCCCCTTTTTTCAAGATTTTTTCAAGCATGTGAAAAGAGCACTTCGGACGATTTTTTCTTCGACTATAAAT